GACAGAGACTGGAGAAACCTGGAATACGGCCCCTGGACACCCTTATAGCTCAGTAATGAAGTCACTCCTGAGGTTCACCCTTCAGCCAAAGACTAGACAGGCCCATAAAACAAAACGAGACTAAATGGGCACACCAGCCCAGGGGCAAGGACTAGACGGCAGGAGGGGACAGGAAAGCTGGTAATGGGGAACCCAAGGTTGAGAAGGGGACATGTCGTGGGATTGGCAAACAATGTCACAAAACAATATGTGTATTAATTGTTTAATGAGAAACTAGTTTGCTCTGTAAACCTTCATCTAAATTACAATAAAAAATAAATAAAAAAGGAAACCAAGGACGCATTGCATTGGGCAAATCTGCTGCAAAACACCTTTTTAAAGTGTTAAACAGCAAAGATGTCATCTTGAGGACTGAGGTGCCCCTGACTCAAGCCATGATGTTTGCAATCACTTCATAATGCATGTGAAAGCTGGACAATGAATAAGGGAGACCAAAGAAGAATTGATGCCTTTGAATTATGGTGTTGGTGAAGAATATTGAATATACTGTGGACTGCCAGAAGAACTAATAAATCTGTCTTGGAAGAAGTACAGCCAGATTCCTCCTTGGAAGAGAGGATGGTGAGACTTCATCTCAAGTACTCTGGACATGTTACCTGGAGGGACCAGTCCCTGGAAAAGGACATCATCCTTGGTAAAGTAGAGGGTCATTAAAAAAGAGGAAGACCCTTAATGAGGTGGATCGACACCGTGACTGAAACAATGGGCTCAAGCATAACAATGACTGTGAGGATGGCACAGCACCGGGCAGTGTTTCATTCTGTTCTACATAGGGTCGCTGTGAGTCAGAGTGGACTCAACAGCACCTAACAACAACAACAATAAACAACTAGCGGAGAAAATTTAAAAAGAAATTTATTTAAAATAGTGAAAACTCTTTATTTACTACAACTAAAAGTTTAGTAGGTTAATTCATAAAAATTTTATAAGCTTTCAATGTCAAACAGCATATAAAATAAAGAATTATATTTCTTATGATTAAAATAACAAAATTTCCTTAGTTACTAAATTAAGAGTTTAAGTGTATTCTTTATACAATCTGCCTCAAAGACAAGAGTTCAACCTCATTAAATTAAGGTTCCTAAGTCAAAATAAAGTCTCATAGTTTTGAGGGGACTAAGGTTGTTACCTTTAAAATCTTTGCTTTAAATAACTTCAGTATTGTTTCTCAATAATCTGTGATAAACTTCTGACAACTTTAAAACTTCATAAAAAGCCCAAAGGATGTATTTAAAATGTTGTGAATTATATGAAACATGTTGTCGTATCAAGAAAAATACCAGATTTTATTTAAGTTAGAATTTATATGTTAGTAATATATGCCTGATACTAGATTACAAACACATACTTATGATGTCATAATTTTATTATTTCAATTGCTAACTTAGTTGCAACTTTTTGTTGTTTTTTTTTTAATCTAACATCATCAAAGCCAATGGTTTGACTGGGGGATTCACAGTATGTACCCATAAAATTTTTACTACTATTCAGTTATTTAGAGACTTGATAATCTTGGTATATTCTTGTTGTATCTTGACAATAGAGTATTATGTCTCAAGATTATTATGTGTCATATCCGCAGCTCTTTGAAAATAAAGTTAATGATTATGTGTAGGGATATTTTTTAATTGACTTTTGGCTTTAAATTACTTTTGTAATTCCCATCAACTCTTTCATTTTTAAGAACTATTATTATTATAAGTTAATCATGGCCATATTAAGTTTGTCATCTGCAGACAAGTTTTTACTTTGCTAATTTGCTGAAAACATTTGACCAAAATATCTCAACAAAAAGATGGACTATGTTATACTCATGGTAAAGGCTATGACTAGACTGCATCATAATTTCCAGAATTCTTATATAGAAGCTGGTGTGTTCACAGACTGTGGCTGATCCAGGATAACATGGAACCGAAATAAACTACATGGGACTGAGTAAACTAAAAAAATGTTTAAACTAAACGCACAGATGAAGTTTACTTCTGTTAATTTCTTTGCTTTTCTATTTGTTTTACTCACTATATTGTTTTTAATTGCTTTACTCCATAAACTTCAAGTTATTCCATGTTTTTCCCATGTAAATGATAGACGTTGATGCTACCTAGTGCATTTGCTTATTGTTAATAGAACAGATCAACTACCTTATTTATGTTCCATGATGACAGTTATACTTACTGCTTAGAATTTCTAGATAAATTAGACATTTCAGATACGAACTGTTAAAATACTTAAGGTTTCCGTTTTGTTATCAAATCTTCCTTTACATCATTATCAAATTGTAATTTTAGCATAAATCCTCTGTTTCGACATTTTGGTTATTCCCTTCTAAACCCACACCTTTTTCATAAACACTACTTTTAGAAATAATTTTGTTTGTTAAATCACAATTTTATTTGTTAAAATTATTATTTTAATAGTCATTGTCATCATAATTGTCACTGTTAAATGTTGCATAAAATTAACCACCCCTGTTTTGACCTCAAAAACTAACATGATGTCCATGAGAAAGATAATGTATATAGAAACAATCCAGGTCAGTGATGACCTTGATGAAACCCCACTTGAGGAACTGAAAAAAATAAGTCAGCCCTTTATGCCTCTGATCCATTGTGCCTGACACTGTCACCTCTTTCCCACTCCCTTTTGAGGCCTACCAGAGTGTCTCTCTCTAAAGCATGGTGAACCTAGGGAAAACCTTACAAAAGACGAATTGCTGTTTTCTAAGCAACACGAAGCCAGCCCAACTTAAAGAGGAGAACTTTACTATGTTAAGGTAAAGGAAAATACTGAGTGGTGCTCAGTCACAATTGTAGTGTGGTATCTGAGGTCTTAAATGCTTAATAATTCAACCAGTCACTAGAGTAAACAATAGTAGCAGGCATGTCCATGGGAGACAGACTACTCAATTCATCAGTGATCAAAAGATGCTCTATGACATCTTTGATCAAAAGGAGGGAAACGCATCAGGAAAAGAAAACTTGCAGTGCGGTCAGTGAGAAAAAAAAAACAAACCTGTTGCCATTTGGTCGATTCCTACTCATAGCAACCCTATAGGACAGAGTAGAACTGCCCCATAAAGGAATAATGTGCTGGCCATACTACCTAATTTTAATCCGGATTCTAGACTAACAGCTATATTTTTTGAGAAAAACATGTTTTTCCTCAGTGGTCAAAACCAGGATTTGAAACCATATGCCCCGAGGGGTCTTAACCAAGTGACCATCTGCACCTCTCAAAATAAACATGCTCAGGAAGAGTGCTGTCTGGGTGCTATTGCCAACAAGATACTTTTGCAAGACAGACAAAATACATGGAAGCATCTTGTGACCATGATCTAAGCATCCTGTGAAACTATCTATAATCACTAACGATACTATTAATAATCAGTAACCAGAGTGTGATTATTACAATATTTATTGACTTTCCTGTAATTTCCCTCCCTATGGTTTGGTTCCTCTTTTTACCCCAGAAGAATACTTGTGTAATGAAACTGCTCTGGGACTATCTTCTTCCATTTCCAATGGACTATGTAGTTCCCCAGCTGCAATTGTTTTAAACCCTTAATAAACCTCTCTGTTTTAACTTGAAACAGTATTCAAGTTTTTCTCTACAACAGAAGGCAGATAGCCTGGTTCCAAAGTCCAAGTACTTAACCATTCAACTATACTGCCTTTCCAATAATGGTTGGTGTGTAGGTAAAATTCATCAAGTGCTAGTATGTACCAAGCACTGTATTAATGTGTTAATGTATATAGAGGGCTTAAGTTTGCCAGTTGGGTCCTTTGGGCACAGGTAACGGGGATAACAAAAGAATCAATAGGTCAACCATTCTGTAAGTCTTTGGCAAACCCTCTACTCGGATGTAGTCTCTGTGTCACTTGAGATTGCAGGATGTTAGCGAAAAGAAGTTATTTTTTCTCTGTTCCTTGCAGGGGTGGAATGGTCCAAACCAGTGAGCAGTATGAATTTGTGCATCATGCTCTGTGCCTATACGAGAGCAGACTTTCAGCAGAAACTGTCCAGTGATAGACTGAAGACGTACATGACCATCAATCTCTTAGGGTGATTAATCAAATCACTCACCTGAGGCTTCTAGAAGGCGCTTTGTCCAATGTAAGGAAAGAGAAGCTCTGAAGCCAATCTGTGGCATGGATCGTGGAAGACTTGGCAACATATTAAAGATTGCCAACCCTTTGTGTATATGAATGCATTTGTAAGCATCCCCTAAATTATTTGAAAGTCCTATGCTGATGGATGTATGATAGATTTTTCACACATCCTAAGGTGGAGTTTGTTTTGTCTGTATTGACTATCTGCCACACAGAATGTATGTTTGTAACACTCAGTGATACATGTTGTCAGATGACGACTTGAAGAGCAACTGAAGAAATTATTATTGTGCGTTTAGATGCTTTAACGTTTGCAAAATCTGTGTTGTGAATGGACTGCCAGCTGTTAAACTGTTCCTGTTTTAAGTGCTATTACCTTTCTCATTACCAGAATCTTGCTGCTAAAGTTGCAGGTGATTGATAATGGATTTTTAACAAATAAGTCCTTGTTTTTGAAAAAAATAAAACACAAAAGCAGTAACTATTTTATATGGACATGTGTCTTGATAATATTGCCTATTAAGTGTGTATTTATAGTACCTCCTATCAATCAATTACAGAGCACAATGATTGTCATTCAGTATATATGTATTTACTCTCTATTACTGGGCATAGAGGTGGCTTCTGCTCCAGAACTCTATCCAGTGTATTTCTACATCGTGAGTCGTTTTACTTTAAAAAGGAAAAAACAAATTTGTAGCAACTATGAACTATCAAGAATTTTAAATACGTGTCCGTCTTTTACTAAGAGGGAAATTTTGAATATGCTGTCTACCTGGAACCTCTCTTCCAATAAAAGGCAGATGTCTTTGGGAATGATACAACCTGTCCCGTTTCCAGAGGTTCTTCAAAAGGACGTTGCCGTCTATATCCTTAAATTTCTGAAAGGTTTTAATCTTCAAGAGACAAAAGAGTTAAAATACCCAACAAGCACTAGGTGTTGAGCTCAAATACCAATTTTTAATGCAGCAATGTTGACTTTGTTTCATACTGCCAATAAACTACTCTTAATACTAAATATTGAGTCAAGTATATACTTTTTCCCTCTACTATTTAAAGAGAGATCATTGTCTTTTGGGGAAGCCTGGAGTAGATAATGTGATAGTTTAATTTTAGTCTCTGCATCTCCCCGATGGAGATAACTATCTGAAAATGTAATATTGTCATCACTCAAGAGATAATGAGCTCGAAGTACCATCATTATGCGGTTTCTCTCCATCGGCGCCTAGTGTATCATTATACAAACAGTACATGTTTACAGCTTTATATCACTTGTCAGAGACCCGCATAAATTATATGGTTTGTATTTATTCAGCAGAATCACATCACCTGAAGAGATGTAATGTTGCAGGAACATTCAATTTTCTAAGACTACAATTCCCTTCTTCCCTCTTGAGGTTAAGAAGTAGTTATATGCCAAGGGGACAAGGGGATGGTAGGTGAAGACTTACAAGTTTCATTCTGCTTCTGGAGACTGGAATTTTTTTTCTAAATAAAAAAAGAGAGAGGTAATCATAATCCCTTCTTTCTAAGGAAACAGACAAAAGGACACTGGTGTAAAACTCCCCCAAACAATTCAATAGGAGGAAGTGCTCGTCACTGACTTTTCCCCCCACCATGAAGGCACATTTCCTTCCTAGTCGCTGCTTCTCTTATCTGGGAGAATTTTTTTTTCCTCCAAGCGAAGTATGAACAGTTGTTAAGTGGAAAATGGAGGCGGAATTTTACATGGCAGTTCTTACCTGCTTGCTCCTCGGGAACTCAGGTGAGTGGGCCTACCTCATTTTCCTGAGGCGTTTCTCTTCTATCCAGCCCAGGAGTCTCTGGCCTTTGGAAAGTGTCTGGAATGAGGCGGAAATGGAGCCAGGTCTCCATGGCAGTTTAGCTAAATACGATGAAGAGGGGGAATAAGAGGAGTCAGCTGTGCCCACACTGTTGAGATTTCTCTCCAAAAAATAATAAGTGGCCTCTTCATGTCCTCTAAATGCCTAGGGCAGTTCCTGAAATGGCATCTTTACAGCAGAGAGTAAAGCACCCTGAGCAGAAATTTTTGTTATTATGTAACAATCTGTGCCATTCCCCATGCTAAGCAGCATTTTTTTCCAATCAGGTTATAATTTTGTTTTGTCATAAAGAAAGAAAATACAAGAAATATGCTTAAAGGGGGTGAGAGAATATGGTATGTTTTATTTGGAAGTTGTGATTTGGAAGGGCTGAATATTTTCGTGGAAGAGGTGGGTAATTTGAGTAAAAGCACATTGAAAATGGTTGCTGAGCCTGAATATCTCACTTTTTAATACTGAAGTTTAGCAATTGGATGTTTAATTTTCTTACATCAAGAAATGCTGATTTTAAAAATATATATGAATTTGTATTTCTGGAAAAACTGTAAAGAAATTGTCACAAAATAGAGAAATGCTTCTCTCCAGGACTATAAGAAATTTAGTTGGTGATAATCAGTAACTTCATTGGTTCCTATTAGTAGGATGTGTTTGGAGAGATGGGGAAAGAAAAGCTCTTGGATTTTTTTATTTGTATTCAAACTATCCAATTTGTATACACTTACTGCAGTGGGCACTTAGAGATTCAAAAGAGGGGTGTTTTTTTTAGAGTGGGGAGGGAAGTGAAATTCAAAGAGTTAAAAAGGAAGCTGGGCTTTTCAGAACTTCAGCATATTTAACTAATTAAGCTAAAATGTCACACCATATTCTTTGGATAGTTCTGTTTCTTTTCTAAGCTTCCTTTCATTATTCCAATGGGGATGTGTTTTCTTCTCAAACCATGTGAAAGTAAAAGAAAGGGAGCTATGTGTGACATTTTGACATTTTATATTGTCAGCCTTGGGATTTTAAATCTTATGTGTTGAATCTGGGAATATACACTTGAAATGGTAGCAAAGGATAAGTAAATCTAGTATTTTTATTTAGTTGATTTGTGGGTGGGTTTTGTTTTGTTTTGTTTTCTAATGAGCCTTATAATTTGCTGTGCAGTACTTTATGAGCTTTTCATCTTCCAGATGGGTTTCAGATTGTCCATATCCAGAAACAACAGTGCCTTTTCCAAAATAAGACAGTGTTCATAGGCTTGTGCAATGAGACCAACCAAAACCAACAGTGGATGTGGACTAAGGATGAAAAGCTCCTTCACGTTAAATCCACCCTGTGCCTGGGCATCTCCAGTTCCTCTCGTGGCCCTTCCCGTGCAGCCATCTTCACCCAGTGCTCTCAGGCACCCCGATGGACCTGTTATGAGGAGGGAGGGTTCCTTGAGGTGGAGAACGCCTCTCTCTTTCTCAAGAAACAAGGCTTCAGGGTAATGGTCAAGAAGGGCAGGAAATACCTCCATAGCTGGATGAAAATAGATGTCAACGAGAAGGGAAAGCTGGTCAATGAAAGCCTCTGCTTAAAAAAAGGTGAGCTATTCCTTCCAGGATCAGTTTTGAAAATTCTTCTGCTAAATGTCTTGTTTTTTCATATTCAAGGGAGGTCTATATGCCCCAATACATTTCCTATAGAAGATTCATAAGCTAAGGGAACCGGATGGTGTGGTGCCCAACAACTTGGAAAACTTCATTACGTTTATTAAAATGGTCCCAGATTTTCTCTTTCTGTCTCTCTCTATTCTTTCCCTTTGTTTCTTGTTTCTTTTATTAATTCAACAAATATTTATTGAGCTTCTACTTTGTGTCAGACACTATGCTAGGCACCTTGCTTTACGTGCTATTAGATAAAGGAATTTAGGCATATACATAGAGTACGTGTGTAATGACTCAAGTCCATCAGCTGGCTCGTGTATGTCAGTGATTAGGAAATTATTAGATTTTGTTGACATAGACACTTCTAGTCTAGATCTGATTATGAGGAACTATTAGAACATCAAAATGGCATGTGATAAGACTGAGTAAATGAATTATGTGTTTGCAAATCTCTTGTTTCGATATTTACGGGTAGATATCTTTTGGTGGTAACATACTTTTGAAGTGGTAAGAACCAATGTGCAGGCACAGAGCATTCTAGTTTATTGTCCGTTGATATATATAATCTAGATGATGGACACGTATAAAAACTTATATCCACGTGAACAAATTCATGGTGCAGCACATAATGAGATAGGAATTTTGGTCAGTGGAACATATATGAAGCTGGATCTTCTCTTTCACTTAATCATTTTATTGCTCATTTATTCTTCTATTTGAAGTTTGCTTTAGGGCCCTGGTGCCTCAGTGGTCAAGCATTTGGCTGCTAACCAAAATGTTGGCAGTTCAAATCCACCAGCCGCTCCTTGGAAACCCTATAAGGCAGTTCTACTCTGTCCCATAGGGTTGCTATAAGTCGGAATCAACTCAACAGCAACCGATTTGGTTTTTGTTTTTTTTTAGGAAATCATGAAAGATAAAACTTACAGAATCACAATATATTAGACTCAAATAGATCTTACAAATTATTGGAGAAATTATCTAGACATAAAGACTCTCATTAAGGAGATTGAATTTTGTCAAGTTAAGTGAATTGTCCCAGGTAATTTAGTGGTAGAGGCATGATTAGAACCCACGTTTCTTAACTCCCTGTCAAGTACACCTTCCATTATACCAGTGGTTCCCAAATCCATGACCACAGATCTTTGTCCTACTGGCTGCATAAGAGTCACCTGGGTAGAGGGAAGGAGGGCTTATTAAAAATACAAATTCCTAGGATTCTTTCACACCCTTTCTTCCTCCACTATCACCTCCAAGAGTTTTAGGAAATTTGAATTGGACATAGTATTTAATGTTTTTTTAAAGCTCCTCAAGTATGATTTTGATCCATAACCCACTGTATCCTTAAATTTCTTTCTCAGGTATTCGTTTTTGAGGCTCGTATGAGTCTTCCCACCTTGCTGATATTTGGAAAATTTTCTGTCATTCATTCATTTCATAAATTAAACCAGTATTTAATTAGATGCCAGTTTAATGCAGTAGGCTCTTCTACTTCTACTGTAGAATAGAATTTGAGAATTACAGTCCCATATCACTTCTGACTGTGAGAATAAGATGAAAATATAAAAGTCAACTAGAAAATTCAAATTTATCGGAGAACATACACATATAGCATGAATTTGTGCGATTCCTTTCCTGTGGCTTATCTGACTAGACCCATCCTAAGCAACACAGAAACATTGTAAATATTCCAGTTGTAAGTTGATACACAAGAGATGAAATCCTCCCAAATTCACGCTTTATTTAGGAGAAGAATTTTTTATTGGACCTGTGGAAAAGTTGATATGGATTTAGTGGAGAGTTACTCAAGATGGAAGATAATTCATGGAAAACTTTCCCCTTTGACCCTCATGTAAATATATCCTATGAGGGACTTAACTCTCAAAGTAAAGTGCATAGAATAGACCATTTGCAGTTAACCACTGACCAACCCATATCCAAAGCATGCTCAATAATATGTGTTGGGAAAAAATGAACTTCTAGAAAAGGCAATTGTTAAAATTTGAACAATTGTAGAACAAACAATCTTATATTTGAATACATATAGGCACAACACATATTTTACTTTAGCACAATTATAACATAACACACAAATTTTTTTCTGTTCCATCTTAAACTTATAAAATCAGTTGCCACTGAGTCAATTCTGACTCACGGTGACCCCATGTGTGTCAGAGTAGAACTTTGCTCCATAGGGTTTTCAGTGGCTTATTTTTCAGAAGTAGATTGCTGGGCCTTTATTCTGAGGTGACTCTGGATGGACTTGCACTGGCAACCTTTCGGTTAGCAGCCAAGTGCATTAATAGTTGTACCACCCATTGGTTGAAAAATACAGAACATTAGTGGAGCCATAGCTCGCTAGTTTGTGAGCAAAGGCATTGTGAAAAATTAACCAAACTGCATTCGTCTGTTCACAATAAGGGATTCCAAATGCCCATATTTAAAGCATTAATAACTAAAAGCTATAATCTATAGCAGCATAAATATGAGTGTTGTTCATCCACAGGATGTGAATTTTTTTTTATTAAGTTCTTCAGCAAAAGAAAGCC